TAGGTAGTAATGAGATTGGGACAACTAGAAGTGAGGGACTGAGTCTCTACTGTATCTTTGGCATGTGGGGGCCCATCAAATGAGGCTGGAACTAGACAGGGCAAGTGGGTGGGTACTGTATTGGTCCTTTTCTCCTCTTACAGACTCACATGATGCCGCCTTTAACACTTTTAAATTAATCAGAGGTGGTCCTGAGTAACAGTGAGATTGGGCCTAGGTAGTAATGAGATTGGGCCATATCCCCACATGATCAACACCTGAAATTGCTCGGTGTCCTTTTGAACTTCTTTCTTCCTGTCTGACACTTCTAAATTAATCAGAAGTGGGCTTAGGTAGTAATGAGACTGGGCCGAGGTAGTAATAAGACTGGGCCATATCCCCACATGATCAACCCTTGAAATTGCTCAGTGTCCTTTTGAACTTCTTTCTTCCTGTCTTGCTTGTCCGTCACCCATTTACTTTCACGTGGACTTCAGATGGTATACGGTAGAACAGAAGATATATGAACACTTCTTAAAGGAGCCCAGTTGCTTTGGTCCCTAAGTTCTAAAGCCCAGTTATATTCTAAAGGCAAACCCTTTCTGACACACAGATAATCAATGAAGCCCAGCTGAATTTTAAATGAAGTCCCAGCAACGGTCATATTTTCAGGCCTCAGTTACTTCAAATCCTCTCACCTCCTCCCCTTCCTCCGGTTCACTTCTTTCAGTCTCTCTTTCTCCCTCAATCAAGCACTATTTTCTAAAGCAGCCTGCTTTTTCCCATTTTATTGAAAAACATAAAGCACTAACACTTTATATAGAAGCTAATAATGAGTTGCCTTTTCGCTTGCTTTTCTACTTCCAAGCACGAGCGGTGGCGACGGCGGCAGTTGCTGAATGCAACTTCCCCTAATCATCATGTAAGCAAATAAATAATTTTCCTTTTTTTGTTCTTGATCTTTGTCAAGGTTTATTATTCATGGGTTTTTATTTTCTTCTTTTATTTCTCATTTTTTTCTTTGTTTTACATTGGCAACAGAGAAATGGAGCTAATCAGGCTATTCAATCTGCTAAATCTCTAAAGCAATATGATTTTCAGATACCCATTATTCCCTTAGATGTTTCAGAGTAATTTCTTGATTCATTTTTGTTATTTTGTTAAAATGTTTTAATTTTGTTCCCGAGATTTCTAGTTTTGTGGGTTTTAGGGAGTTTCCTTTTGATTCTGTGAGTCATATTAATTTTCATTTTGTTGATATAAATTTCTGTAGAGAGAAGGTTGGGGAGAGGGAGACATTGAACTGGAATAGTAAAAAGAAGGTGAGTTTTAATTTGAATGTGAAAACCCTTGGGGAATTGTCCGCTGGTGGGGAGTTTATTGGTATTCTGTCGAAGAAAGAGGGGGAAAATGAGAATAAAAAGGAAGAAACCTATAAAGAAACCAAATGTTCAGTTTCTGATTTGACTGTGTCCAGTTCTGTATCTAAGCCTCAGAAGAACAATAGATACCAGGATTGTGCAGAGAGTGAAGGCAAATATGAAGATTTGGTCATGGAAGAAGGTTTGAATGTTGATAATGGTGGATCTGAGGCTAGAAGTGATAAGACATTCATTATAGAAGAGTCATCGGAGTCATTGTTTTCCTTGTCAATAGAATCTAGGAAACAAGTTGTTGAGGTTGAATTGGATGACAAGGAAGTTACTAGTCCAATGCAAATGGGTAAATCACCAAGTGAGGAACCTAAGCCAGTAGTGGGGTTGAATCGGGATGCTCAAGATAGGACTCAGTATGTTGATTCAGTATTGAACCCGGTGGAGAATCCTGCTCAGTGGAAAGCAGTGAAGGTGAAAGCAAGCACACCATTGCAGCAGGAAGGGAAGGAGAACATCATTTTAGAGGAAGAATTTGAGATACCCTTTAGATCAAAAGGCGGTCGAAATGAAACAATGCTTGTGGATAAAAAAATTGCTGTGGATACGAGTCTCTCAAGCTGGTTGGTTGGATCTGAAACAACACCTGTTTCCAATGCTAGTTCAAATTCTGTTGGGAATTCACAACCAAAGAAAGTAAATGGAGATAGGCGTATATCAGGAGTGTTAGCTGTGGAAGAGCTGAAACAAAATTCTATCTCTGTATCTCCAAAAGGATCGAAGGGCTGGAGTCCAGATGAAACACCTATTATAGGGACTATTGGAAGCTACTGGAGTCATACTGGGCAGGCAGTGGATTCAAATTCAAGGTATCCTGGCAAAGGAACGCCAAAATTGAGCAGGAACATAGAGGTATGCCCCCATCCTTGATGGCTTTATCCGAATGCATATTCAGTATGTGCAGCACAAGACAGTTACTAATAAATAGTTTTGATTTTGCAGGATGAGGGAGTTAAATGGAATGCCACACCGTTTGAGGGAAGGTTCGAGGGAGCTTTGGACAAGATTGTTGCTGCTGAAGTTTAGTCTAGATTGACGGGAGATGTCCTTCGTGCAATGCTCAATGAATCTGTATGTGAATATGCATGTAGTTGTTTTACCTGCTTTCGGTAGTGAACTTGTGTTGAAATCAATGATGCCAGATTTTCACTTCATTTTATTTTTATTTTCTCATGCTAAATTTCTATTCCTGTGTTCTTATCCCCTTTTTAGCTTGAGGGAAATAAAAGGGAGATCCCTCCCTCCGAATTTTTTGTCATCCAAATAGAAAAACTTTCCCCTCCCCCTCCCCTCCCCTCCCAATTTTTTGTCATCCAAATAAAAAAACTTCTCTTTCCCCCTTCTCCCCGTCAAAACAAACAAGGTATTATCTCTAGATACCAAATAAAAAGAAAAGCATACTTCTATTTGTTTAAGTCATTTTAACCCTAGAAAATATGGAGAAAGGGATGAAAGCATTATTATAAAGACTGGTTCAGAACGACCTATACATAAAATAACAAAAAATTCAAAACTTGCAAAAATCTAAAGCAACAAGAACAAATCTATACAACAAGAGCAAAACTGCTCTGTTTCATTTCGCTCTGGTGGTAAAGGCACTACACCATCACCATGCATAACCATCTTTGCTTTTAACATTTGGTTTGACTGTTGAATGCCTCCTAGGGAACTACATTAATCCCTTCATATAATATCTGGCGAAGTTGTTACATATCATGAAAGAGTCTCCTTATCTGATCAATAGTTGCCGGCATCAACGTGATTGGGCAGCGTTTATACTGTGGCAATGGAATGTAACATAAATCAAGGTCAATTAAGAATGCTATAAGAATGCTATGGGTGAAAATAAATTCTGATCCACTAAAAGGTTTTTTGAAGTTTGAAGAGAATTTTAATAAATAATGCTTCTATGGGTTATTAAGTTTGGATGCCTTACCTGAGAGATATACTTGTGTATGCAAGCATAACAGAATACAAATCCTGAGACTGTAACTACGGATGGATTTGCACGCTTCTGTGAGCACAATGGACAGATACTTCTATCAGGTGGTAACGGGATCCCCTCTTTAGCAACCTGCTCAAATAATAAATCTAATTCAAATTTTGGGCATACGGAAAAAATTTCCCTTTTTAGCCTTTTTATTCTTTGGTGGACATTTGATCAACAGAAACAAACTAGTAAAAATCATCAAAGCTGAAATATTTTGATAATTATATTTTTTATTATTCAGTATGTTTTAGATTATTCAGTACAAGGCACAAGCATTTGCAAGTAGAAATAGAAAGGCCTTAAGAGACTATGTTGAGAAGGATGCAGGTTTCTCTAGGGTTTGAATATCCTGTTATCTGAGGAAAAAAAAACATGGTGAGGAGGAGAATAGCCAGAGATGACTTTCTCACCTTAGGGGCTGGGGGAGGTGGAGGTGGAGGGTACACTGTTGGAGCTGACATTCTTTCCTCAGCAGATTGGTACCACCATTCCATCATCTGTGAATAACTCGCAAAGGAATAATGTTAATGTTAATATAGCTCCAAAACGAAAATTTTAACCAACTGAATGAAATAAAAGTTTCAAGCAAGGAGGATGGTAATGGACGAATTTTTAGTTTGGATAGAGAGAAATCACAGAACTGCTTGAAGTGTCAAATTCAACATGTGTTCAGCAGAACCTAAGCAATGTCAGTCACAAAGGAGGCAAAAACAACAGCCTTTAGAAGAAGGAATATAGAGAAATTCCACAGCTCAAGTAAAACACTAACACTTGAGTATTTGGAAAGTATATGACATGGTTCCAGGATACTCTGGTTACCTAGAAGAGATTCCCTTTAAGGTTGGTAATAAGGATGCAATTATTTCGAATAATATTTGGCATTGGGCAATACCATTTGATTGGATGGCTTCGATTCTCAAATTATTTATATATATATATATATTTTATGTTACTGAGGCTATTGGATGGACTACTAGAGAGTTGTTGTGCTAACAGCTGAGGTCTGCATGCGTAATTATGTATAGTTTTGAGGGTATGACTTTCATTTATTTATTTAAGGTACATGGCTCAGAGACAGAAGACGAATTGAGTCTCATTGCAAAACATAGCTAGAGAAAACAGGGACCTGCCACTTGACTTCAAAGACCACTTATTAGGCAGTTGTCACCACCAAGGTACTATTTTTATTTTCAAACCAAACAGTCCATCATAATTTCGGGAACTCAAAAAAAAAATATCATTTATATTTAGCTTTTATTAGTCCAATTGCTAATTGCAGTCTTTTGACATTGTTGGTTGCTTGGTAAGTCCCCGATTGATAATTGACCTGCTTGCTTTTAACAAGATAAAGCAAAACTGCAAGAGTGGGAAGAGGAAACAACTGCTTGGATAACAGGACATCCTTGCATGTACAAAATTCTTCATTTTTATCATTACAAGTTGGTTTTTCCTATTCCTTGATCCTAGATTTAGATCAGCACAAAAGAGCACAAGATGTTGGTGATGATAACACAAGCTTATAGAACAATTTTAAAGACATGTATAGTCCCAAATATTATGGACATATGGACAACATGATGACCATCAATTTCAGATGTATTCAATGCATGGTATGGCAAAATAAGAAACTAAAGAATCATATGAAAGTAAATACACTCACCTTGAAGATAAATACAGCAGCAATTAAACCAGTTTGAGCATAGTCAAGCAATGCATAAGAACATCTAAGCAATGCTCCTTGTAGTGACTGTAAGAAGAGATTGAAATTAGTTGCTAACATGTCAAAATTAACAAATCTTAAAGTAAATTACTAAACTTTGGAAAACCAAGAGAGAGGTACAATAGTTCACCTCAACTCACTATCCTAGACGAGAAGAGTTCAAAAGGTACCTTCAACCATGGTGGACCTCTGAGTCTCTCACGTTCACGACTTCGAATTTTTGAAATTCTAGAATTAGTATCCATCTACCTTGACATCAAAGAACAGGAACTTATGTATGAGATATGTAGAAGGAGAGAGAACCTGCAACCTCTAATCTCAGAATCTTAGAAATGCAGTAACATTCTTAGAACTAGTCACTACAATCATGAAATAAAGACTAATTAACATACTCTAAATTAATAATTTACCAAATATTAAATGGCCTACATCTTGTAGATCTATCAAAAACATCCTTCACATTTAAATATGTAATCTTGTCAGCTGTTTGGAATATCAGCAAAATAGTCACCATTAAAAAGATTATCATAAAAGGAAATCCAAACAAGTAAAACCCCAAGAATTCACAAGCATTATGAACTTACTATAAATATACGGGCTGCAGAATATACATTATAAACAAAAAATGCTTCTACATCAACATAAATAAAATAATAGATGAAGTTCAGTAAGAAATTCTTGGTGAATTTGTACCAGCTCTTGACCCGTAGCTCGACACACATGAATCCCAAGTGCATGTAGTCCCACAGAATAGAATCCAGTAGCATCCAGCAGATACAAGAGCTGATAAGTAAATGATAATCCTGCACCATAGAGCTCAAACTTAGAGTAATGCATAATACCGGGGAATGGATTCAAACATAGAATTCTCAAAGATAGCTGAAGGACCCTGATATCTCCTCCAAGAAATCATTACAAACAAAACCATATTTTTGCACCTTATTATGAAACACATCATCACACACAAGAAAATCACCCTATTGATTTAAACACTTATATTACGAATACTTTGGAAAAAGGGAGATTTAACCTTCTTGTTAATTAGGAACTGGTATTCTTTATCATGCAGTGTTGCACACCCTTACCTTCTCAACCACAAGTAATAATTTAGGTCACAGTGATCCTTGGATGATATTGAGATTAACAAGTATCCAGGAACAAATCAATAAAGGACCAATGACAAGATAGTAGCCAAAACATACCTTCAGTACTAGCATGTAGCCACGGGTAACAAGCAGCTACAATTTTCTGAAATTTCTTCACCAAGTGCGTTCTAACAGATGTTTCTGTATCCAAAGATGCTGTTGATGCAACAGAAGCCTCTCCTCCATCCAAATAGTTGACATCATCAAATCTTTCATCAACAGATCCCCATAAACTTGCCTGAACCATGGCTTCCCTTTCTTTGTTGTAGATTGAATGCAATTTTGACTTAAAATATGGCAAAACAACCTGAACAGGAATATCAAATCCAGGCATCAACACTGCATCCAGCCATTTATTTTTTAATGCAAAATTCTTCTTGCCACTTACTAATACAGCAAGATTGAATTTCCTGGGGTTTTTCTCATATGCTTATGATCCAGTAAGTGACAAGGTTAATTAAGAAAGATATTGCAATGAAACAACAAAAAACCCTGAATTATACGTTCAAAGAAAAAGATTGTGGCATAAATTTGCTCCTTGACAGATATTAGGACATTCTGACAGGTAACATCAGGGTAAAGAACTAGAAGCTTAAATTGAAGGTAGGCCTAAGCGGCATAACCATGTAATACTTTCACTGCCTTTAATCAAATGGTACAAAGCGGACATTTACATAGCAACCTTTCAACAGTTGTACCATACATAAGTCATGTAATTAAATTTCCAATCCCACCGGAATATCTATGATGAGTTAAAAAAAGGGATAATGTCTTTGATGGACCCATATTCCAGTTTCAACCCCTTATAATAGCTTTCTTAGCAAAACAAGCAATCCAACTCTAACATGAAAATAGATCAATGAAAGAACATTTTCCTTTTTCTTTTTCTTTTTCTTTTTTTTTTTTTTCCAAAAAGAGATTCCAGAAGAGAAACTACAGCAGAATCCAGATAAATCAGAGACCTTTCTAGATAAGATAAGATAACCACACAGAGGAAACAACTATTCCAGAAATTCATAAAAGGCAGAGATGGTTTTCATTTTCATATTGACATGAGGAAAAAGAAGCAAAAATATTGTACCAGAAATACAACAGAAAGAACTCTTTGACGTTTTTCAAGGCTTCTGTGTTGAATGTCATCACTCAACTTTGAACGATTATCCAGTGTTGCCTTTATTTTGACTGCCCTCCTTCGCAAACCATATAGAGACTCAGAGAAAGAAGCATCTGAATAAGAATGGTACATTAGATAATAAGCCTTAAGAAAGGATTAAAACCATAAATCCTCAAAGAAATTACCAAGCTATGGCCAAATCAAAGAACCAACCAAAGTAGCCAGCATTTAAGCTATTTAAAGAGAGGAAGATGTTAAGACCCAAACCCAATGATAAAGTTTGTTAATTAGATATTGGATCCCTATTAAGAGTTAATAAAGGTTGACTTGAATGTGTGTAGAATGACCATTTACTGCCACTTCCTTCCACCAACAAGCTTGTTGGTTCTAGCTAAGAAAGGAGGGCAGCGTTGTAGAGAAAAGTAATCAAAGAAATCCATTTTATATGACTGGATGAATGGTGGTGGTACCACTGCTCAATTGAGAGATTGACAGAGCACGAAACTCAGCCTTCAAGCATGATTTGCTCCACATACCAAACATTCCAGCAATAAGAACCCAATATAATGCAACATATTTTAAGAGTTGTATACTACAACTCATTCTAACATATTTCTCATACAATACACAAGCTTGGTTTTCTACATTCTCACATAGAAAGGATTAATGTCAAATGAGCCATGGGAGGAAAAAATATATAAAAACAAGTAAAGAATTTTAATCATCTTTATGATTATAAGATTAAAATTTTATTCATGGTAAGAAGCATAGAATGCAGAAGCCAAGTATATGGTCAGACACAAAAGATTGATTAATAAATTAATGTTGGTACCTTAGGAATTAATAAGGGGAAATGTGGAACAATCATCAAGAAAACCCAAGCAGAGTAAGAAAACACTCTAAGAAGGTGAGTTTCAACAAGGCTCACATATCACATGCCAAAGTTACCACAATCGGCATCAATCCAAAACTAACATGGGCATCAGGATAAAACATCTTAAAAGACAGGAACCTGTGGTTCTTAAGCTATGAGTCTCCAGAACCAGCATCAGCAACGAGAAGAATTCATCTTCATAGTCCAATATTTTATGAAGAAAAGGTCTTCTTAATGCCAATACCTGCATATATATGAAGTTAAAGCAAAGACCTTTCTAGTTATCAAAATTTTCTACATGTAGAATCAAACTGATAAAGCAAGAACGCGACTGAGAAAGTAGTATCTGAATTGGAAAAAAATAAAAATTGGACATAATAGTGCATAATTTGAGCAACCGTGAACGAGAGAGGTGAAACTGACATAGAAATGTAAGAAATTTGAGGAACCCAATTGAAAATCATTAATGGGTATCTCGAATAAACAAATTATAGATGGATTAGAACTTACACCAATGGAGTAGGTGAGAGCGGCACGGAGGCTGGCCGGGAGCTGTTGAGCGGCGGCCATCTCAAAGAAGGTGGGACGAGTACCTTGCCCGCCCACCTGGAACAACATCTTTTAAATCCCCTGTTCCGATCTCGTCTTTGGCTCTGCTTTCTACTAGTGGTGTTTGTCGAAGTATGATTAACTTCGATGCTAAATCAAGTTTCAGAGGAAACGTAAAATCTGAGGATAAGACTTGGCGAGGATTATAAACGTTGTATCAACATTTGTTACCTCTGCCATTTCCCCCCGCATTCTCAATTAAACCCTTTATCCTCTATTAAGGTAAATAAATTATTAAATTTGATGATTTGAGTAATTTAATTTTTTAATAATAAATTTAATATTTATTTGTGTGTTATTTGTACAAGTAAAATTAATATTTATTATATGGGTAATAATATGTTAATATTTTATTTATATAAGTAAGGCATAAATAAATGTAAAATTTATAGTAAAAAAAAGATTAAATTATTTATATTATCAAGTTAAGCATTTATTTACTTTAACAAAAATTTAAGAGTTTAATTAAAAATTTAGACTAAATTTAAGAATTTAATATAGGGTTTTGTCAACTATTTTTCCCTATTTATATATGGTAAATATATACTACTACATCCATCATAACATAACCTTAAGAAAATCGAAACGAAAGTCATGGGTAAAACAAGATTGAAAATGTTAGAGACCAATGTTGCGGATGTTAATGTTTAACTCTCTAGTTATAGATTTTGACTCACTGTTCTCTTGCAAATGAAGATTATGACTTCTAGAGCCTATTTTGCTGAGTTAAAATATGTAAAAAAATCAGCAAAAGTTAAAAAAAAAAAAAAAAAAAAATTTGCCAAACAAACCAGAGAAAATTGCTTGCAGAAGGAAAGTCCAAATCATTTTCGGCATTTCCCTAAGAAAATTGAAAAAAATGGGAGCAACAAATTTTAAAAAAAAGATTTAGAAGGAAAACTTATTTTGTACAGAACACCTAAAAGTGAATGCAAAATTTTCTCTTAAAGTCTCTGGTGTTAATTTTTCTCCGGCTTAACGGGTTATATATATATAAATATATATATATATATATATATATATATATTTTCTGCGTTTGTTGTATCAATTTTGATTATAATTTTACTTTCTATAATGTTTGAATTTTTAGTTTTTACATCGCAACTTTTGCAATTGTAATTTTTTTTGTCTCTTCAATTTTTGTTTTTACAAGCCATGTTTGATATTCTCTGTGCAATGGGTTTGTTTTGTCTTTATGTTGTGTTTTAAGATCCAGTTTTGTGTTGATTTGTTTAAGAAAATTCGAATGGGTTGACTTATTTGTTTAGTTAGACATGTCGAGAAAAAATGTTAGGTACTGTTTTTTTCTTTTTTTTTTTTTTGGGCTGTATTAGGTGTTGACTTGGAGGTTAATCAAAATACTTAGTAATGTTAAGGTTATTTTACTTTTGTAAAATATATAAGGGTGGTGTTGTTAGGATAATTTTTTTATTTTATTTTTTTATACAACTTTCATATGTTATTAAATGAGTGAATCCATTCAATATCAGGGCTCTCATATAAATTAAAAAAATCAATTATTTTAATAATATGTCAAATTATACGAAAAGATGAAACAAAATGGTTGTCCCAATATCATTTCCTAATATACAATAATACAACTTGAAAATTTAAAGTTTACATAGATCACTTTTATGAATTGAAAGTTTAAAGTTTTTTCAATTTTTTTTAAACGGTTAGCTCTTTTTTTTATTTATTCCAAAAAGAAAAAACCTCCCATAAATACATTTAAGATAGATGCTTAAGGTAATAGATTAACTGTGAATTCAAATCTTGAGTAAGATGACGACAACAAAATCCTTTTAAAATTTATAATTTAAATGTCAAATTTTAGAAGTGGATAGGAAAAGTCAGAAATGAGAAAAGAAAGGAAAAGGAGAAATGTAATATATGGAGGGTAAATTTTGATTTTCTTATTAATTAGAGTAGTTAAAGATTCCATTTTATATAATGGATATATATGGTATAATTTATACTATATTATTATATTTGAATATATGTTACATACAATAATTTTTTTACTTAAACCTATAATAAGTTTTGGTAGATGATGATTAATTACTTAGAAAATTATGTTATGTATATTATATACTTATATTTGCAGGTTATATAAAATAATTTTTTGACCCCCCAAACATTTTGCTCAAGTTACTCTTTAGTGTCTTTCTATATCCTGTAAATTCTTATCCGTTTGGGAGCCTGCCAAAGGTTAAATTTGGCCATGTCGACATGTTTTTATTTCGTAGAAATTGGTTTCAATACTGCTTTGTCATCAATAATGGAGTAATGTCATCTGTTCTGGGGCCGTGATTACTTGTGCAGATACATCTGATTTAGTATTACCTGATCTTGTTTTTAATTCAATATTTGATCTTGTTTCTGATGTACTCTATACCAATTTTGAAAGTGGTATTTTATCTTGTATTAACTATTTTTCTTATATTTCTTTAAATACTTTTGTTTAGTTTTTGTTAGCATGCTTGATCCAACCAAGGGAATATATGATGGTACTGAGCCATCGTATTCATAAATTTTTTTTTTTGGCCTTATTTAAGACATTTATAAAATATTACATTTATCAGCTTATTTAATATCATATTATCATTATAAACTTATAATTATTAAAATAATTATAAAATTACTCTTACGCCATTTTCTTAATTCAAAAAACACAGTTCACCTCAAATTCCAAATGGCCATATAATCACAAACTCATTCCCTGACCCAAGTCCAGAAGGCAAGAGAAATGGGAGTTGACGAATCTACAATTAACTTTGATCTTATAGGCCCTAAGTAGTAAAGTTTAAGGGCTTTAACTTACATTTTGCGCACCATCCCCAGGTCCAACTGAAGCATGTGACGAGTGAGAGCATCGTGGCTGCTGACGCTTCGGCTAAAGATGAGAACCAATGCCTCCTATGGATTTTATATTTTGTATGACTGTCCACCAGGTGTGGATCTTTTATGTGTTGCTGACCATGTAGGAGTTTGTTACCCCAGACGGTAATATTTCTATTATAAATTTCAGACTTATTTATCCAAAAAAAGAAAAACGAAAAAAAAGGCTTTACTTAATTGTTTTTAGTTGAGGGGCAAATAACCTCAAATTTTGTAAGTCCTAAGGCTTTCTTCGGGGTTTGGCCAATAATCTATCAAATAAATTACTTTCACTTTTCCCCTGAGAAAATTACTTTTCCTTTGCCCAAAACGGAAAGATTAACTAATTAATTTCATACAGCACGGTACTTAACCCTGTCAACCCAAATTAGTAAGGTGCATGCCCTCTTTATACAAAGAGATGGATTCAGACAAAGATTAAAAATTAAAAAATAAAACCCTAATTTGATTCACTTAGAACTTCGAAGATTTGGAGTTCAAACTGCTACATATACTAAAAAATATACAAGAGTTACAAACTTTTACAAACATCCAGTTGAATCTGAGTATCAGCATCAATCCTGGTTCAACATAACTTTTATTGACAGATCTTTTCAAGCTAGACGTTGGTTTTGAAGGAACACGAGAAAATTTACAACAGCTATATATTATTTTCCAAACTACACTTACACCAAGAACCCACAATAAACAGGTCAGTCTTTTTACGTTTCTTTGCTCTACAAATATTCCTCTATGAAGTTATCTTCCCCAGCAAAACTGCATGCAGTTTCATCCATCATGTACAACTGACATTACTACAATAATCCTAAATAACAGTCACATTATTTACAACATTTATTTGATTAATAAGAAACATCCAAGATCAGCCAATTAATCTGCTTGTTCAAGTATGGTAGGGAGGGTAAAAAGATGGGTAAGCGATACAAATGATCAAAAGCAGGATTCTCTCCAAATGAAAATCATAAGACCTAATGTTCCAAAAATTATGGGTGTCTGTCAGCATGATTCTCTGTCTCAACATGAAAGAGTCTCTCGAAATTGGCTTACCACATGATGTCTAGAGCCAGGAAAATGTCATCAAATATAGAATTCATTTAGAAGCAGGTTTTTCTGATGATTCTGCTATTTCATCTGCTCTTGCTCTTTTTGTTGTGGGGGGAACCAGAACCATCATCATCTGTGTCATCATGCTCGCAAGTATTTGTTTCTGGTGCCTCACGCTTTTTGCTTGCACCCTGAGAACTTTCCTCCTTAGCTGTTGTAGAATTTCCTGCATCAGTTCCTGTTTTGGCTTGTTCCTGTCCAGTGGCTTCTGATATATCATTTTTGTAAGATGGCTGTACTGAGTCTGAAGGTGGAGCAGTGGCATCATCTTGGGTTGAAGAGGAGGCCTTGAACTTCTCATCTCCCATCTTTTTTTGCTTCTCAAACATCATCTGCAGATTCCTACCCTGTTCTTCTATTCGCAGTTGCAAATTTCTCTGAATCTGGAAGAACAATGTAACTGTGTCAATAACTATACAAGTTTGTCAACAAGCATGCATGCAACTGTACCTTTAGGTGCAAACAGCACTTACAATTTGGTCTCATGAGTCATGAAACATGACATAATTAATATTCTAAACCAAATACTGATTCAAGCAAAAGGAAGCCCAGCAGGAGTGAGATCAGACCTTTCGATCTTCAAGAACAATCTAAACCTAATTTCTTGCCTTGCTTATCCTTCACCATCTTAACTCTATTAAGGAAAATCTACAGTTTCCTATAATTATATCATTAGATCCCAATTAATCCTTGTAATCTACCATACTCTGTCAGTGTTTGAAGTAATCATAGGAGAAAAAAAGGGCATATTTGCAGATTTTTTTGATTTGTAGTAGTACATCTTCACCTTATTTGGTTCTTACTTGCTCCAAAACTAAAAGTCAAGAAAAGGGAAGCTTGGATTCCTGTAGCGTACCTCCAATTGTTCATGAAGTTGCTTCTGAACTTCCATCTGCAAACGCAATGCCTCAGTGATTCCAATACTCCTGTCATAAAAAAGTACAAAGCATAAATCAAATTAATTTACTAACCAATTAGACTAAGAACATTGGATAAGTATATTAGCCAATCATGCAATTAGACTTATGTGCAACTCTTGCAATAGCAATGCACAGTTTCTTATAAGATAATAAGAAACTGGCCATTAATTTTATGATAGAGGTACATTCCTTGCCTTGATTCATTTTAGAATAACAATCCATTTGCCCTAGGTCAAGGCTGCAAAACAATCCCTTTTTGATGACAAATGACATAAATCAAGAATGGCCACCAAAAAAAAATCCAGGACCAATAACATATACCAAAAGGGGAAAGGAGAAATCAGCCCATACTGATATCAGTCCAGAATAATGAAGGGGACAAAAGTAATTTTATAATTACAAAGGAGGTGATGTGTCTCCAGATTCAGAACAAAGAGAATCTGTACGGACTGATTTCTCCTTCTCCCTATACTCCCTATACAAAAAATTTGTTTGAACTCAAAATTTTCAAGATAATGAGTTAAACATATAAAGTTGGTAATGACTTAACTGTCCAACATAAATGATCATTTTAATTCTACTTTGATTTCCATTTTAGACATTAATCTGATTACTAGTAAAATGTTGACCAAACTGGAAAAATAAAGTTTGAATAATTTTATAGTGGGATTTAGATAATTACTTGAGAATAAGACAGATAAATGTCTATAAGCCGAACCAAATTAATAAACTAAAAAGAAAAAGCATAAAATTTTCTTCCAAAAGCAAGAGAAATTTACTCACGTTTTCAAATCCAATGATTTCATATCATCGATAGATGTCAATTTTTTCTCTTGTGTTCCTGCAAAAAGAAGAGAACAAACATTTTAGCCAATTATAGCATGTTATCTCCACACCTTGTTCTCAGAGTCTATAGAGATGATTGTTAGTATCTAATACATATTTTAGTAAATATTCTAACCCTTTGAATTGAAAACATTGTAGAATAAGTAGCATTTTAACCTATGACCATGGTAAGGAAATAATGAACAAGAAGTTATGAAAGCTTCATTAAAAATTTACTGAGCTGAAATCATTAGGGGATAAGTGCGCTTCTAGACAAAGGCATCAGAAAGAGAAATAAATGAGCCAATGAATTTTACCTTCAGATGACTCTGGTTTGTACCTTGCTGTTCTGTATTTCTGGAATTAAAAGAGAAAAATAATCCAGCTAAATGACCGAGATTTTTTAAAAGGGAAATTAAAAAGAAAAGAGATTGAGAAGATTAGAAACAGACCTGCAAATGGCTTTTAACATGATAGATTGTTAGGCCTTCAACATTCATGAGCTTTAAGATGCCTTTAGGAGTAGCTCCTGGAAGTTAAAATTATTAGTCCAAAACAAAAGAATAACACAAACTACACAATAATGGATCAATGAGTGAAATAGCTATGAGGAGTGCTCACGATCACCACCACCCAGCTGATTAACAGCATCCACAAAGGCCTCATGAAGTTCTGGTGTCCAACGCATACGAGGCTTTGTTTGAGGTGCAGTAGATAAGGGACTAGAGCCCATTGGTAACTCTCGAACTGGTATGGGGTGATTCTGATAAAACTGAGGCTGTTGCTTTGACATATCAGCCAAGGGGTTTGCCACCTAGCATATTCACTTCATTTTCTTAAAACCAAAAAGCACTAAAAGACTGGAAAGCAAAGCTTTTTTCTATAAGTAATATACAACACATTCATCATTAATAGGGAAAATGAAATGAAACAGTGCAGGTGATAGTTCTTATTTGCAGTCAACCAAAACATGTCCAAACTCCAAAGAGGATATTAACCAAACGTAGCTGCTAGTGAAAACCAACCCCTGCCCCCTTCCCCTTCCTTTCCTTTAATCAGCTGAAAACCAACCTCATGGCATCTACTGCTGGAAAACTTTGACATACATGACCTTAAAAACACATAACAATTTTAGAGTGTGCAACATTCAGAATGTAGAAGTTACAACGTATGCACCCAACAATAGTCAATATAATAGCACAAGGAGGCTCAAAATTCATTCAAGAGAGTGCTTGAATTATCTTCCTATTCAAAATTAGAAACAAACCTTGGGATCTATGACATTGGCATCACCCAGAAGCCCACTCCACTCTGGGTCTGGAGCATCATCTCCAGATATCAGCTGATCAGCCCACTCTTTCCAATCAGTTCTCTTATTATCACCCTCGGATACCATGATACCAGCACTGCTTCCTGCCTGACCATTCTGTAGTGGGGCATTCTCAGGAAAGTCAAGGAAATCCGGGAGTGGATCAATATACCAAGAAATATCCTTTTCTTCCTCTGGGTGATTAATAAAAGGGGTAGATTGTTCTCCTGGATATGAAAAAGTGATTGGTAGAAAAGATGCCTCATCCCTTGATGACTGAGAAATGAACACAGAACTTTGGGATTGCCTTTCGTAAGCTGGAACTGGGGGGGAAACATGCAAATTATTTGGAGTTCCAGAAGATGAAAACATGCACCCAACAGTCCCACTGTTGGGAGGTAATGAAGATGCTTGTCGTGGTATGGAGTTTTTCATGACTTCTCTTTCTGATGAAATCTGAAGGACTGGAAAAGATGAAGACATAGCAGTAGACACTAAGAATACAAGTTATTGTGCTGCTTTTGAGGATAAACCTGAATAATAAAGAAGGACCATATTAGTGCCATATATTAAGAATAGCAACAGTTGCCATCCACTGAACTACTTTCTACATGCTTACTCTGTTTTGAACAAGATTGTCAAGAAAAGTTTCTTGAATCCATTTGTGCAACTCAGAAGGGCACTACCAGCAGTAGAGCATGACCTTGGCACCTCTATTAAGAAATTAACAGATTTCACATTGAACAAAATGAAAAATCAATGATGAGAATGACTTACTGGAGAAGAGATGATAGAATAGAACTTATGGCTATAACTACAAAGAAAAACAAAAGGAGGAAACAAGCTACACATTTTTTTAAGGCTCATAACTTTAAAAATGTTTTTCAACTTTATTTTCATATTCTCAGTTCTATTTACTTGACAAGAGAGCGATGCATATATGCACTGTTCTTTGAGTTCAAGTTTAACAGACAAGAAAACAGTAAACATAAAAATGATCACAATTCACAAGTTTACAACATATGTTAACATGGAAAGTGTTATCCTTATTCCATATGTATTCTATAAAGATGCTACCTGAAAATCAAATCTTGAAAATATTTATGCGTTCTAAGGACAATAACAACTTTTGAGAGTCTAAAGTAGAGCAATCTTGGGCAATGGCTTCCCAATAGGTCCTGCTTAATGTTGCTATGTACAGATGCTTATATATACAACTGTCTATTTCTCAGCCATTTCAGACAAAGCCATCCAAACCACCCAGCAACTTGGGCAAAACAAATGCATCAAACAATTTTTAAATGTCTACAAAAATCATTCAACTTATGATGTGATATATATAAAAAAGCAAACTAAGTAATAGCCATGTTGTCAGCTAATCATGAAAAAGAAGGCACAAACTAGTGACCTCACTACCAGAAATATGAGCAAGTAAATGAATCAAATGAGCCAAAAACATCTTAGGGCATGCTAACCTAACCTATCCACACCACCAACTCCCAACACCAAAGGAAAAAGAGAAATGCTTATTCTTCATATAAAATGAACTTTTTTTCAAACAACTAGAGAGATCTGATAAGGTAAAAAAAAAAAACAAAAACTTTGGATCTTTCATATTGGGTGAAAAAAAAAAAAGCCAAAAGAAGAACAATTTTTTAAATAAAAAAAAAAAAGACTAGTAAAACAACTAAATCATTAACTCTTGAACAAGAAACTGATATCACTAAAATCGAAGTGGCACTTCCATGAATAGGCAAAGTTATTGCCTTTTGTCAAGATGTATTAGTAGCATGCAACATGGTAGAACAAGGCACCATGATATCAGATCAACAAAAAACGCCTGACCAACTAAACCAGCTAAAAGTTCAAGTCCCATGAAAACCTAATCATACACAACGAGAAGATTAGACAGTGGACCGGTTACCTCATAATCACCAGACACATTTAAAACTCCTAGAAAACACACGTCCAGAGTCAAAGCAATAAAATCCACGTTTCAGAACATACCCTCATGCGTGTCATATTTCTAAATCATATTTACACAAACAGTACCAAAATCATATATTTACATTCAAAACCTCACAAGCACATAAAATTAAAAATTAAATAAGAAAACCTAGAGCAGATTTATAGCACACCTCGACCTCCAATAAACCAGTAACAACCCAACAGAAGCAAAGCCATAGAATTAAAAATAACAACAACACAATTCATAACCAGCATCAAACAAACTAGAAAACAAAGGAATTCAACAAAACAAGCAGATATAAGAATTGGGTATAAGAAAATATGAATCAAACTAATCATAACCATAGTCAAAATAAACAACTCAACCCAGAAAAACTCGAGATGGGTATCTGAGAATCTTACTCGTAATGGCACGAAAACCGAAAATGAACCTTGGGGAATCTGGGGGAATGGATAGAAAGCAAATTTCTAGGAGCTAAAAACGCAGGCAAAAGAGGCAATAGATTCTTTGGATTGACGCACGATGGTGGCCCTTTTGTCTTCTTGATTTCAACGGCGTCACGAAACTCTATTATAAATTACAACTCGCAAAAAGAAACGTAATGGGATTTAGTTTCGCATTTTATCTTTCCTAATAGAAAAAAAAAGGGGGAACTTTAACTTGCACAGGATATACCATTTTTTTAGCTCTGGATTGCTGGCCGTTGAATCGCCGTGATGGAAGTTCTGATGTACGGAGGAGGTTGGTGAGGTGCGGGGTGATGATTGGTACGAGATGCTGCTTTAGGTGGGACCCACACAAAGTCTTTTTCGCTTCGTGCTTTTGTTTTTACGTGGGGGATTAAAATTTTTCATCATGTTTATCTGAAAATTTTTGGTCAAATCTCCCAATTATTATTGTTTGTCCAAAAATTATTTAAATGGAAGGAGCTGGCATTTACTTGGCGTTTTTCCTTTTTGCAGATTCGGGGGGGAGGAGGGGATACTAGATTTTTTTTATAAAAATAAAATATCAACAAGAAAGCTTGACAAAAACTTTAGAAAGGGTCAAAAAATTTTGAAGGGCAAGTTAATCGAAACAAAATTTTTAAGAGGGAAAATAAAGAAAATCTATTAAAATTTATGGGTTGTTTGATTAGACATTAATTTTATTAAAAAAGTAATTAAAAAATGTTGTATAAAAAATTAAAATATAACTCTAAAAGAAAGTTGATAACCTTTATGTGAGGAGTGTGGTTATGGGAATGATATAATATTAAAGCTATAGTTTTATTAAATTTAATTATTAAAAATATTTAATAATTTATATTTATTTTTTAATAGATTAAAATTAGTTTATAAATTAATATTTTTTGACATTATAATCAATTATTTAAAAAAAATTACAAAATAATAAAATATTAATTAAATTAAATAATATTTTAATGATCTTAATAAAATAATGTGTGGTTATGACCACACGGGCCCACACATTTTATTGAGTCATTAATTTGTTTGTATTTAGTAAAAAATTAATGTAATGAAAGTTGGTAATAAAATTATCAAGTAAATCTAACATAAGAAAAAAAAAGCTTCTCTAACTTTTTTTTTTTAAGTGTATAAAAAAAAATCCTATG